TAAGCTTTTTCCCTCAAGGCTAGTGCTCACCATCTTCAGCCACAGCAACCACTTCCAGTTTTCTAGTGGCTAATTAGAGAGTCTCACAAACTTTTATGCGTGGGCTGGCTTTGAACCACAATCCTCAGACCTCAGCCTCCTGAGTAGCTAGGATTATGGGTGTGACCACCAGTGCCCAGCAAAATGGGGAGTCACTTGTTAATGGATATAGTTTGTGTTTGGAAAAAGTTCTGGAAATGGATAGTGGTAAGAGTTCCACAATAATGTGAATGTAGTTAAGACTGATTTGGCTGGATGCTGGGGGTTCACGACTGCAATCGTAGCTACTCAGGAGGCTGAGATCTGAGTATCAGAGTTTGAAGCCAGCTGAAACAAGAAAGTCAGTGAGATTCTTAATTATAATTAGGCACCAAAAAAGCCAGAAGTGGAGCTATGGCTCAAGTGGCAGAGTGCTAACCTTTAGCAAAAAAAAAAATTTAAGAGATACCACCCAGGCCAACTTCAAGCCCCAGGATGGGCACAAAAAAATAAAGAAAAGCCTGACTTGTATACGTTTTAAGGTTAAAATGACATATTTTAAAATGATGTTTTTGTTTTTGTTTTGTCAGTTGTGGGGCTTGAACTCTGGGCTTGCGTGCTGTCCCTGAGCTCTTCAGCTCTTCAACTTCTTTGGCTCAAGGCCAGCACTCTACCACTTGAGTCATAGTGCCACATCTGGCCTTTTCTGTTTATGTGGTTACTGAGGAATCAAACCCATGGTTTCATGCATGCTAGGTAAGCACTCTACCAATAAGCCCCATTCCCAGCCCCCAGATTTCTTTTTAGTTTTTATTATAAACTATTTTAGACTGGGTGCTGGTGGCTCACACCTATAATCCTAGCTACTCAGGAGGCTGAGATCTGAGGATCCCAGTTCAGGAAAGTCTGTGAGACTCTTATCTCCAATTAACCACCAGAAAACCAGAAGTGGTGCTGTGGCTCAAGTGGTAGAGTGCTTAGGCCCTGAATTCAAGCCCAGGACTGACAAAAAAAAGTAATTTGGCTATGATGTGAAAAGATGACATCAAAAGGCTAAAGCAGAAGTGGTGGAATTTTGATTCTCTTTAATGATGTGAGCCTTATGCTATGATTATAAATATATGTTAGTGGCTCATGGCTATAATCCTACCTGAACTCAAGAAGCTGAGATCTGACAATCACAGTTCAAAGCCAGCCTGGGCAAGAAAGTCCGTGAGATTCTTATCACCATTTAACCACCAGAAAACTGAAGTGGTGCTGTGGTTCAAAGTGGTAGAGCACTAGCCTTGAACAAAAAGTGCTCAAGGACAGTGCCCAGATCCCAAGTTCAAGCTCGATGACCAACAAATAAAAAAATAAATACATGTTGGCCCTAATCACTGTCAGAAAAAAAGAACTTCATTATTAGTAGTGGCTTCATAGCTCCGACTTGGAGAATGGTATTTGTAAATTTTTAAACATTCTTTTAATATATTAATAATGGCGAATCATCTACTCATTCATGAAACTGACTCAAAGCTTTAGACTTAGCCCAGTTAAATAAAAAACAGCCTATGTACAAGAGCAACAATACTTACAAATTAACACAAGAAATGTTCAATAGCAACAAAAACTAACATATAGAAGAATAAATTAAACAAGGTTGCCTACAACTATATGAATAATGTGAGGTATGTGAAAAAAATATGAGTGAAGAAACATTGTTTCCAGTTGGAAAATGCAATATTATAAAGACATACGCTCCTTGCAAATTAATTCATAAATTAAATAAGCAATGTATGTATGTATGTATATATGTATGCTTAAGGCTATGTTAGAATTCAGCAAAAACATTCCTCACATTTAGAATCATTAGGTAAAGACAGACATTTAAAATTAGAAACCTTCAACAATAAAGTGATATCTATTGGTGGTTAACAGTACCAAGTCTTCATAGATAGCTCAATGAAGCACAACAAAGAACCCTGAAATAAATTTGGAAAGGGGCAGGGAATGTGGCATAGTGGTAGAGTGCTTGCCTACCATGAATGAGCCCTGGGTTCGATTCCTCAGTACCAAATGAACAGAAAAAGCCAGAAGTGGTGCTGTGGCTCAAGTGGTAGAGTACTAGCCTAGTAAAGTTCAGGGACAGTGCCCAGGCCCTGAGTTCAAGCCCCAGGACTGGCAAAATAAATAAATAAATATAGTAAGTTGGCAAATGTTTCATTAATTTCATACTGTTGTTAGTAATATGTGACAACAACCAGCCTAACACTGAGTATCTCCATTAAAAATGGAGCTTATTCAGCAAGGAGAAGAAAATGTTACCTTTTTTTTGATTAGTAATATAACGGTATTCATAATTTTTTACTTCTGTGATCCATACACCTGCCCTCTGCTTATTCCTTCTTTTATTTATTTTTTATTTTATTTTTTGGGGTCCGGTCATGGTGCCTGAACTCTGGGCCTGGGCACTGTCCCTCAGCTCTTCAGCTCAAGGCTAGCGCTCTACCACTTGAGCCACAGCGCACTTCCAGCTTTTCTGCTTATGTGGTGCTGAGGAAATCGAACCCAGGGCCTCATGCATGCAAGGCAAGCGCTCTACCACTGAGCCACCTTCCCAGCCCGGAACTTTTTCTTTTAAAAGAAGGAATAAGGGGCTGGGAAGGTGGCTCAGTGGTAGAGTGCTTGCCTTGCATGCCTGAGGTCCTGGGTTCGATTCCTCAGCACCACATAAGCAAAAAGAAAAAAAAAGCCGGAAGTGGTGCTGTGGCTCAAGTGGTAGAGAGCTAGCCTTGAGCTGAAGAGCTGAGGGACAATGCCCAGGCCCAGAGTTCAGGCCCCACAACTGGACCAAAAAAAAAAGAAAAAGTTCCTTGTGATAAAGTTTTGCTATGTATTCCAGTATAGCCTAGAACTTGATATATTAGCCGAAGAAGACCTCAAACTGAGGATCCTCTTACCTTAGCTTCCCAAATTCTGTGTTCATAGGTTTAAATCACCATACCTGGCATGTTTGTTTTATTAGTGTATTCTGCATTTTTTTGGGTTGCTTTTATGAGAGTGCTTCACAATTCTGCCCCAACCCAATCTCCATGACATCAAGCAGCCTTTCTTAAGCACTCTTGTTTATCATTTGCAATATATAGTCATTTTCAAAACATTCATGAACTCATCAGCAAAACTACTGCCAAAATTCTAGATCATTAGCTTAAGGTGTTTTTAGGAAATACTAAGAGAGGTAACTGAAGAAGCATTTCTACTCTCTAATTTCCAATGAGTAATAAGAAGAGAAAGAGAATGTATTCCTTCAACCCATTCCTTTCTGGAAGAAAAATGGACTCTCAGATGGGCATTGGTGGCTTATACCTGTAATCTTAGCTACTCAGGAGGCTGAGATCTGAGGATCGCAGTTCAAAGCCAGTCCAAGCAGTAAAGTCCCCAAGACTCTTATCTCCAATTAAGCACCAAAAATGCCAGGAGTGGAGTTGTGGTTCAACTGGTAGAGTACTAGCTATGAGTAAAAAAGCCCAGGATCAGTGCTCAGGCCCTAGTCCAAAATCCAGGACTTAGAGGGGGGGCAAAAAAAAAGAGTCTCATTTCCTACCAGTTCCCTTGGTGAAAAATTCATATACTCTAGTTAAGTACAGTTCCTAAACTTGCCATGGTTTTCATTGCTTCACAGTTCTGAACACTCTGCTCTCTACCAAGAATATGCCATTTCCTCATTTTTCTGTCTGATTGTCCCCTTCTTCACCTCTTCCCTCCAATTTTCTGCCTCTGCCAAGTTGTAGGACAAACTTAGAGCCATACTACTTGGGCTGTTAAATTCTTAGTTGAAATCTCAGTATCCTAGGCAATTTTCTCAAATGCACTTAAATGTTCTTCATAGTTTCTGCCTATCAAAGATCATTGATCCTTTAGAATTCAGTTTAAGGAAGTGGAGCTGTAGCTCAAGTGGTAGAGCGCTTGCCTTGAGTTAAAGAGCTGAGGGACAACGCCCAGGCCCAGAGTTCAAGTCCCACGACCGACAAAAAAAAAAAAACTATATAGAATTCAGTTTAAGAAAATTCTTTTCCAGAAAGTTTCCTCAAATTTCATTCTGCTTTAGATATTCTGACACAAGTCACTCTGCATATTTTTTTTTTTGGTCGGTCGTGGGGCCTTTTTTTTTTTTTTTTTTTGAGGCTTGAACTCTGGGCCTGGGCACTGTCCCTCAGCTCTTCAGCTCAAGGCGAGTGCTCTACCACTTGAGCGACAGCGCCACTTCCTGACTCTGCTTATTTCTAACAAAATATTTAAGCACTATAAATTTTCTTTTCTAATTTGATTTTTATCTGTAGCATCTATTCATCTAGCACATATAAAATCATCAATGTTTGCTTATCATGGGTTGTACAAAACCAAACTTCTAAATTTTTGGGCCAATTGTGGGGCTTGAACTTAGGGCCTGAGTATTGTCCCTGAGCCTATCTGCCCAAGTGGAGCCTCAGCTCCACTTCCAGGTTTGGGGTGGTTAAGTGGAGTTAAAGAGTCTCACAGATTTTCCTGCCTGGGCTGACTTTGAACCACATCCTCAGATCTCAGCCTCCTGAGTAGCTAGGATTATAGGCATGAGCTACCAGCTAAACCCAACTTTATTTTTTAAATTTTGTCCGTTGGGGGCTTTATTGCTGGGCCTAGGAGTTGTCCCTGAGCTCTGCAGCTCAAGGCTAGCACTCTACTACTTGAGCCACAGCACCACTTCCAGTTTTCTGGTGATTAATTGGAGATCAGGGTTTCACCATTGTTCCTGCCCAGGCTGGCTTTGTACTGGGATCCTCAGATCTTAGCCTCCTGAGTAGCTAGGATTACAGGCATGAGCCACCACACCCAGCCTATTTTTTATTTATGCCCATTTTTCCACTTTACAAAAATTTAAAAGCAAGCCAAAACTACTTTTCATCATAAAAAGTTTAATGGTAACTGGGTGCTGATAGCTCACACCTCTAAGTCCTAGCTACCTGGGAAGCTGCGATCTGGAAGACCGAGGTTTGAAGCCAGCCTGGATAGAAAAGCCCGTGATACACTCCCTATAATTCTTTGCATTCTGAAATACGTGGAAGGCTAAGATAGGAAGGATCATCATTCTAGGCCAGCAAGGGAGAAAAAGATACAGAATTCTATCTCCATATAGGGACGCTGTAGTGTTGGAATAGGCCTGTGAGCTTAGGAAGCCTAATGTGGACAGATTACAGCTTAGAAGTACTACCTTATCTCGCTAAGAACCATGAAGAAATAGGCTGCAGATGTGGCTCAAGTGTACAGCATGATCCTAGCAGTTATGAAGCCCTGAGTTCATATTTATAGAACATGCATTTATATGCCTAATAAAAAAAGGCAGACCAAGGGCTGGGAAGGTGGCTCAGTGGTAGAGCACTTGCCTTGCATGCCTGAGGCCCTGGGTTCTATTCCTCAGCACCACATAAGCAAAAAGAAAAAAAGCTGGAAGTGGCACTGTGGCTTAAGTGGTAGAGCGCTAGCCTTGAGCTGAAGAGCTGAAGGACAGCGCCCAGGACCAGAGTTCAGGACTGGATCCCCCCCCCCCCAAAAAAAAGGCAGACCAAGTCACTTGCACTTGACTGATTCAATTATCACTTCAAGGTGTTTTTATGAAATACTTTGCATAGATTGATGGAAAAAAGGAAAAACTGAAATACCTACCATTGTACTTAACACTGTTGGCCAGAATAAGGTTTACATCATCTAGAAAGCTCTCCCGACTCTGGTATTTGTGCTTGGAAATATTCTACGATAAAAAGAATCAGAGACTCAAATTACATGTATAAAAAATGCATCAATTACAAAAAGGCATTTGAGATTAAGCCACTTACCTTACGTATAGTCTCTAAATCCATTGGGTTGACGATTACCTTATAATAATCTGGAACAAACTTCTTATTAACTGGGTGATGAAATGGCCAAGACTGTTAAAAGAAAGCATGGGAATTAAATGGAAATCATTCCTTATTGCAGAGATTCTCAACTTTGCTGTCACAAATACTCTTTTTTTTTTTTTTTGTCAGTCCTGGGGCTTGAACTCTGGGCCTGGGCACTGTCCTTCAGCTCTTCAGCTCAAGGCGAGCGCTCTACCACTTGAGCTACAGTGCCACTTCCGGTTTTCTGGTGGTTTATTGGAGATAGGAGTCTCACGGTCTCTCCATCCTCAGATCTCAGCCTCCTGAGTAGCTAGGATTACAGGCGTGAGCCACCAGCACCCGGCTGTCACAAATACTCTTAACACAAGTTATAGACCCTTTTCCCAAAAAAGCACATAAATACACAAATTTTTATTATATAGTTTAAGTTATGGATTCTTTTTTTTTGGGGGGGGGGTCAGTCATGGGGCTTGAACTCTGGGTCTGGGCACTGTCCCTCAGCTCTAGGTGAGTGCTCTATACCATTTTAGCTGCAATGCCACTTCCGGTTTTCTGAGTGTTTTTTTTTTTTTTTTGGAGATTAGAGTCTCAGGAGTTTCCTACCCAGGCTGGCTTTGAGCCATGATGCTCAGATCTCAGTCTCCTGAATAGCTAGGATTACAGGCATGAGCCACTGATGCCCAGCCTTTTTAAAATTATTTTTCTGCCAATTCTGGGGCTTGAACTCAAGGCCTAAGTGCTGTCCCTGAGCTACTATTACTCATATCGCTCTAACACTTGAGCCACAGCTCCACTTCTACCCTTTTGGGGGTAATTTATTGGAGATAAGAGTCCCATGGGGCTGGGAAGGTGGCTCAGTGGTAGAGCACTTGCCTTGCATGCATGAGGCCCTGGGTTCAATTCCTCAGCACCACATAAGCAAAAAGAAAAAAGCCGGAAGTGGCGCTGTAGCTCAAATGGTAGAGCGCTAGCCTTGAGCTGAAGAGCTAAGGGACAGCGCCCAGGCCCAGAGTTCAGGCCCCATGACCGGACCCAAAAAAAAAAGAGTCCCATGAACTTTCTTGCCCAGGCTGGCTTTGAACTGTGATCCTTAGATCTTAGACTCCTGAGGAGCTAGGATCAAAGACATGAGCCATTGACAACTGGCTCAAGGATTCTTTTAGAATTGCTATTACCTGACAGGTTAAGGACTATAGCCTGGCTAAAACTTATTTCTAAATAAATACAATTCTTCTTCTTCCTTTTTTTTTGCTGGTCCTGGAGCCTGAGCTCAGGGTTTGGATGCTGTCCCTGACCTTCTTTTACTCAAGGCTAGCCCTCTACCATTTGAGCCACAGTGCCATTCTGGCTTTTTCTGAGTAGTTTATTGGAGATAATCTCATGGTCTTTCCTGCCCAGGCTGGCTTCAAGCTGCAATCCTCAAATCTCAGCCTCTTGAGTAGCTAGGATTACAAGCATGAGCCACGGGCACCCAGATTAAATACTATTCTTATTCCATAGTTATATAGCATTACACATACAGATTATACAACAAAAACAAAACTCAGTATAGAATTTCTGGGGAGGATCATTATAGCAAAAGAGTCTATAAAAGCCAGGTGCAGATGGCTCACACCTGTAATCCTAGCTACTACTCAAGAGGCTGAGATCTGAGTATCATGGTTCAAACTCAGGTAAGGCAGGAAACTTGATGAGCCTCTTGTTTCTAAATAACTACCAAAAAGTTGGAATTGGAGCTGTGGCTCAAGTGGTAGAGCATGAGCCTTGAGCAAAATCTATGAGACAACATATGGCCCTGAGTTCAAGCCCTAGGATTGGCAAATACACACACAAAAAGTTTATAAAATCAGTATAATATATGATAGCTGTCATAAAAAGTGGAAAAAAAGAGATGGAGTTATGGCTCAAGTGGTAGGGCACATTCCTTAAGGCTCTAAGTACACACCTGAATGTCAAAAAAGGTTGCCAAAAATAGACAACAAACACAGGTAATTATCAAAGTTGTTTGTACAAAAGCATCTCTAAAATCAAGAGCCTTCCAGCAGCTGGCATCCTCTCTCTAGACTATTCAGGAACCTTGACATGCTAAATATCAATAATATATCCCAAGACCCCCAACATCTTTCAATAAGGTACTTATACAGCAAAATGTTGATGTTAGAATTACATACCAGTTTCTTCGACTAACATACACCACTGCTCAGAATCTCTAGCATACATATGCATGCATACCATTTGCTTCTTTCTTTTCCTGTGTACTCTTACATTTAGCACAAAGACCACTTACATCTGGAACTGCCATCATTTTCTGAGTTACAATATTGTCCAGAATGAAAGAAAATGCCACCTGGTCATCATCATCTAGCAATGGATTGATTGCTTTCTCCAAACGAGCTAATTTGTCTTCTTTCTAAAATAAAATAAAAGCAAAGGCAAGTCAGGTTCGTGAGGTGTGATAACCACAGAAAATCTAGGAATAATCTAAAAGACAACGGATATCACTTGGTAGCAGAGGACTTGCCTACCACACACAAGGCCCTAGGTTTCATCCCCAGTACTAAAAAACAAACAATTATAAGAAGTCTAAACTGATTGTAATGTTTTTGGTATAAGGAGACTTAATTCAATAAACTCATTTAAGACTCTACTAGGAAAAACTCTGCACTTCGATTTACCTTCTCAGGGCAGGGAATGTGGCTTAGTGATGGAGTGCTTGTCTAGCATACATGAAGCCCTGAGTTCGATTCCTTAGTACCACATAAACAGAAAAAGCCAGAAGTGGCACTGTGATTCAGGTGCTAGCCTTGAGCAAAAGAAGCTTAGGGACAGTGCCTGGGTACTGAGTTCAAGCCCTAGGACTGACAAAAAAAATTACTCTAACAGGTACAAAGGGGCATCAAGTTGAAATATTTTCATCTGTATAGGTTAGTCTTCTTGTGAAATATCTACTTCAATACTAACACCATCACCTGAGGCTTGAACTCAGGGTCTGGGCACTGTCCCTGAGACTCTCTGTGCTCAAGGCTAGAACTCTACCACTTGAGCCACAGCACCACTTCCACCTTTTTCTGTTTATGTGGTACTGAGGAATCAAACGCAGGACTTCAATCTGGTACTAAGGAATCAAACCCAGGGCTTCATCCATGCAAGGCAAGCACACTACCACTAAGCCACATTGCCAGCCTTCCCTTCCTTTTCTAAAGTCATATAGTTTCTGATCTTAACAGTAATTTAATATTTAATAGTCAAAATACCCATAGAAAGTTATTATCTTTTATGGACTTAACTTTTTCCATCTACAAAAGGATTGACCTATATATTCCTAAGGTTCCTTCCAGGTATCTCATACCACAAATCTGCCATTCTCACATATACTCTTCTTTTTGTTAAATTCCCTACTTTCTAAACTCTGCCACCATGTGCCTTCATATGTCATTATCTTTGTTTCATTTGTAATGATTTACCTCTTTAAGCTTTTCATCACAGAGATCCAGCATGGACTGAGAAATCTGGGTCAACGAGTGTTTCGGCCCTACAAAGTAACAGTATAGATGGAAATATTAAGAATGGGAGGTAAAGAGCTACCAACACCATTTATCCTTTCAATACATTTACTTGAGACTTAGTAAAGAGCCATAAATTCTAGCTGCTGGATTAGGCAAATTCATCAACCTACTTTCATGTTTCATGCCTAAAACATAACAGGTATATATGAGTAAATAAACTAATTTTAATTAGTTTGTATCCATGCAATTAGTATTATTACTGGCTTTTTCTGAAGTTTAGTAAAAGTTTATTTAGTAAAGCTGAGCAAAAAAAAGAAAAAAGGAAATCACAACACAAGCTGACATCAAGAATGGAAGCAGAGAGGTTCCACTACATTTTTTTGTTGTTTTCCATTACTACTATTATTTTGCCGGTCCTGGTGCTACTAGTCTGGGCTTGGGTGCTGTCCCTGAATGTCTTTTGCTCAAAGTTAGCATTCTACCACATTAGCCACAGCCCCACTTCTGATTTTTAGTGGTTAATTGGATATAAATCTCATGGGGACTTTTCTACCCTGGCTGTCTTTGAACTGTGATCTTCAAATCTCAGCCTCCTGAGTAGCTAGGACTACAGGCATAAGCCTCCAACACCTTGCTGATTTTTTCTTTTTATCGGTCATGGGGCTTGAACTCAAGGCCTAAGCACTATATCTGACCTCTTTTGCTCGACTAGAGTTCTACCACGAGGAGTTAAAAGAGCTACTTCCAGGTTCAAGTGGTTAATTGGAGATAAGAATTTCATGGGGACTTTTCTGCCCAGGCTGGCTTTGAATTGTGATCACAGATCTCAGCCTCCTGAGTAGCTAGGATTTATAGGCATGAGCCACCAGCGTCCAGCCCATTACTTCTAATACTTAGAAAATCACTCATGTTTGGGGAGTGACCATTTGTTTAATGATGGTTGAAGAGATAAATGGATAATTTATAATATTTCTACTTAGTAAGAAAATCTGTAAATGTAATTTTTTTTGGTTGGTCGTGGAACTTGAACTCGGCCTGGTCACTGTCCCTCAGTGCTTCAGCTCAAGGAGAGCACTCTACCGCTTGAGCCATAGAGCCACTTATGGTTTTCTAATGGTTAATTGGAGATAAGAGTCTCACGGACTTTCCTGCCCAGGCTGGCTTTGAACCATGATCCTAAGATCTCAGCCTCTTGGGTAGCTAGGATTACAGGCATGAACCAGAGGCACCCAGCTATAATTATAATTTTTTGTTTGCACAACTCAAGGTGTGAAATATTCTTACAATATCTGAAATAATCTCTACCACATATCAGAAGCTGGGCACCAGTGGTTGGCACCAGTGGCTACCACCTATAATCCTAGCTAGTCAGGAGGATGAGATCTGAGCATCATGGTTTGAAGCCAGCCTGAGCAGAAAAGTACAGGAGAGACAGGAGAGACTCAAGATGGTGATACTCTCACAGGTAGTCCCACTACATGTCTCTGACCAAATTAAGATCTAGGATCACAGCACACACTTTACCACAAGTGACCCGCTCCTATCAAACTCTAAATTTAGACTTTTCCTACTACAAAAGGAATATCCCAACAGGCAAACAAGGAAAGTGAAACAAGAAAGTGAGTGGGACCCCTGCTGAGCAGCAGGATCCCGGGACTTTCTGCAGATTTTAAGCAGAGAAGCATCCCAAAACTGAAGAAATTGGTCAACACCAGACCTGCAGAAACTTAGAAGGGAAACCAGTGAAGACCTCGGAGTTGGCAAGCGAATCCCAACTCCAACCCTTCCTTTGGGCAGCAAACACTGCCATTGCAACCACCAGAAATCAGCACCACTGACTAAGGCTCCAAAACCGTCCCCAAATCACTACTGGACACAACATAAGGTCCTGTGCCAGCAGTGCCAGCGGGATCCCCATGACCCAAGCCACCTTTATACATGGTCCCCAGAACACAACAGCCCCAGCCAATCCCTTGCCCCAAGGGCCGAATGCCCTGCTTGACTGGGCACTCTGCCAGAACCAGCTCCCTCCCTGCTGACACCTGGGCTCCCACAGCCACCATGGCATCACTCTGTGGGCTCCAATGACCCTGCACAAGCCACCCTACCCCATGCCTTCACTGCCACTGCCAGCACAGTCCAGAGCTGCTGTGGATGGCCTCACCTGCTGAACTAGGTGGCCCTATCATGCCACCACTGACACAGCCTGCAGCCCCCGGCAGCCACCACTAAGGCTACCCGATGTCATCCACCAATGCTGCTACCCACCACCCACCACCACCGCCGCTGCTGCCGCCCACCGCGCAACCCACTGTCCCAAGCTCCACCTGGTCCTCCCATCACCTGGACTTCCCACCCCACAGAGCAAGATCCTTCAGCTGCTGCAGATGCCACCCCCCTACCTGGTCTTGCCAATGCCCAGACACTCTCACTGAGAACCCGCCAACACCATCCTGGCTGCCACAACACAGGCTCTGTGGTTTAGTGCACCACCAGCTACAAATCTTGTGAGTAACCCAATTGGCTTCACTCCCTGGGGATGGCAATTCTCTGTAAGGTCCCAAAGCCCTCTGACCCAAGCCCCCAGCCCAAAAGGGAAGAATCACATCAGAAGTGAACACTGATCTAAGCTCTGTTCCTAAACGTCTTGTGGCTACCTAGGAAGCCTGGGAACAGAGCTCCATGCCTGTGATAGCAAACTACAAATCCAATTCTCCCCAACTCCCCGCCATCAGGCCTCAGAGTAGGATTCTAGGTAGCAGTCACCTTCCCTTGTCAAAAGGCTGTCTGGATCCAACCAAGCCATAAGGAAAGCAGATTATTGCAAGGCATACAAGGTTTTATCAAGAATCGCCTTAGAAAAAAAAAAAAAAAAGAATCGCCTTAGAGGGCTAGGAAGATGGCTCAGTGGTGGAGTGCTTGCCTTGCATGCATGAGGCCCTTGGTTCAATTCCTCAGCACCACATAAGAAGAAAAAGCTGGAAGTGGCACTGTGGCTCAAGTGGTAAAGTGCTAGCCTTGAGATGAAGAGCTCAGGGACAGCACCCAGGCCCAGAGTTCAGGCTCCACAACCGACAAAAAAAAATAAAGAATCGCCTTAGAGGACAAAGAGGAGACTCAAGCTCCCCCAAACAAGCCAAAAAACTCACTCTTTAGATTTTTGTTTAGGTTTTTTAAAAAAATGTTTTTGATTCTTTGTGATTTTGTTTTGTCTTTAGGATTTGCTATTTAAATCTTCTATTTTTTCACTATAATTTAGTTTTTTCTTCCTCTTTTCTTTTCTTTTTATTGCCACTCATGGGGCTTCAATTCTGGGCCTGAGCACTGTCCCTGAGCTCTTTAGCTCAAGGCAAGGGTTCTACCACTTGAGCCATGGTGCCACTTCCAGTTTTCTTGTGGCTAATTGGAGATAAGACTCTTACAGACATTCCTGCTTGGGCTGGCTTTGAACCATGATCTTCAGATCTCAGCCTCCTGAGTAGTTAGGCTTACAGGCATGAGCCACCGGCGCCCAGCTCTTCCACTTTTCAGTTTCCTAATTCTAATTATTTTCTCTCACTCTATTCTCTTCATTTCTCTCCACATTGTACTACTACTCTATCAGAGCTAACCTGTCTAGTTCTATACACAAAGTAAGGTCTTCGATGTATGTAAACATAATAATTACAGGAATTATCTTAATCAACTTTCCAATACATTCAATAAAACTTTTTCTAATATCAGCAATTCTCCCAAATATATATATATATATATATATATTTCTTTTCTTATTTTCATCTAGATTTCTAAGCTATTCCATATATAATCTTTCTTCAAATTCTTTTCTACCTCTTACACTCTGAAACAAGGTCTCTATTCTCTTCCTACTACACATACCAATCCTTAAAAGCTGTTCTTACCCCTCTAATATCATTATACCCATTTTTTCTTCTTAATATAAACTCATATCTCTCCAATCCTAACCCTTTTCTTCTCCGTTTTCTTCAGTCCATTGATCTCTAACAGTTTATATCTGAGCCATCTTGCAGTTGGTTCCATTTTGACTGAGTACAAGGGGCCCATCTTGTTAACCTTAAGGTTCAGACTACTTATCAGCCAAACCCAGATCATCTCAAAAGTTACCAACTATATATAATTTCCACCACAGAAACACAACATCCCTCTCCAAGCAAAAAGAGAGAGAGAGAGTGAGAGAAATAGGGAAACACCTACCCATTTTTTTGTCAATCGTGGGGTTTGAACTCTGGGCCTGGGCGCTGTCCCTCAGCTCTTCAGCTCAAGGCCAGTGCTCTACTGTTTGAGCCAAACCACTTACGGTTTTTCTAGTGGTTTATTGGAGATAAGAGTCTCACGATCTTTCCTACCTGAGCTGGCTTTGAACCTCTCAGACTACAAGGGAATAAAATTAGAATTCAACACCAAAAGCCACCAAAGTTGGCTCAGTGGTAGAGTGCTTGCCTTGCATGCATAAGGCCCTGGGTTCGATTCCTCAGCACCACATAAGCAGAAAAAGCCAGAAGTGGCGCTGTGGCTCAAGTAGTAGAGCGCTAGCCTTGAGTTCGGGCCCCACAACCAGAAAAAAAAAAAAAGAAAGAAAATCCTGTAACACATGGAGGCTGAACAACACAATGTTGAACTACCAGTGGGTCATAGAAGAGCTTAGAAAGCAAAGTCAAATGTTCATGATATTTAACAAAAATGAACACCAAATTACCAGCTCCTCTGGGACACAGCAAAGGGCAAAGGCAGTACTCAGAGGCAAGCTTATAGCTCTGAGTTCCTATATCAACAAATTGGAGAGATCTGAAACCAACAATTTAATGAGGCCCTTAAAGCTCCTTGAAAAAGAGCAACAAGCTAAACCTGAATCCAGAAGATGGAAGGAAACAAATAATTAAAATTAAATCAGAATTAAATGAATTGAGTCCAAAAAAAAAAAAACACATAGAAAGGGGCTGGGAAGG